TTATTATTCATTTGGCCAATAAATTATTATTTGGTCAATATAACAATATAAATAATTCAGTATATTTGTAATAGGAATTTATTATTTCAGGGGCTTATATCTCTCAAAGGGTCGTGAGTAGGGGTATGGTTCCTTTGACTTTATTGTTAGTACAGGGGTCTACGGTTTGGGGGGTCGCCACCTCTTCATTCGGAGGGTAAATCTTATCATTCGGACTTTAACAGAGCTGTAGAGCATATTGATAAGAACAAAAAAGTCAAAGGAACTGTGCCTCATGGAAATTTGTAAAGAACGCCCACTAGGGGGCAACCCAAGCTACTAGTTTGTAATAAAATATAAGATTATGATTTCAGTATTTATACAAAATATTGAAATGACAAATAGGAACTGTATATTCAAAGAATTTTTTTTTATTCAGTGATATTTTGTTTTCTCAATTTTTATATTTTTCTAACTATAGAATTCTTTTCTCTCATTCTTTTAAGAAAGATTGGGACTATTTCGAAATTCATAATTTTCTTTCCATCCAATATTTTGTAACTTAAACAACAGTTAACCTTTAAGTTAGTGAATACAGAGCTGAATTTAGTTTCATTTTATCAAAGTTTCATCATATGATATTAAATAAACAGACTATACATGTACATCAATCCTTAACACTGATTACCTTTATGCTTATAATAAGCATAATGTTAGTTATTATTGAGTAGATCTGTTTGAAGTTATACGTAATGATATTGTACATTACTTGCTATAAAACAACTAATAACAAGAAGTAAATTGAAACAATGAAACAGTTTTAAAGCAATCACATTACTGTCAAAATTACCACAACAAAGAAGACTAAGTCACAATTCTTAAAAAAAAATTGTAGCAGCTAAAATTTATAGAGCAAATTTGTTAAGGTTAGAAAAATCATTTCCATTATTTGTATAAGAGAAAATGGCCAGTAAAAAAAAAAATACTAGTAAAATAAAGCTGTGCAATTATTTTCACCAATTATGTACCTCTAAACCTGTTACCAGTGTGCAATTAACTTCAAAAAATAAAAAAATAAAATTTCACAAATGTTTTCAAACCTTCAACGGTTCTTCTTCAGGCGTCAACGAATTTCCGTTAGAATGTCATTAAATATGAAAATTATTTGAAATTCGAATATGTGCTAGCTGATGAATTTTTACTAGGCATGTGCACTACATACGTAGCAAATGATGAGAATTTATAGTGTTTTGGCTTTGAAGTATGTAATTGATATTTCCGGTGTTGGATAAAGTGAGGTTATTTTCACCAAAATGTAATCTTATGAGAGTTAAAACTATTATATAAATAAACTATTTGATAATCAATTAATTAATATGCATCAATGTCCTTAATTTAAACAAATTAGTCTTTCAATCACCATAACAGTGTATTTCTATTAATAGGACTTATCATACTGGCGTATAAGATTACAGCAGCACAGTCACACAAATTAAAATTGTTTTATTTATGATTACCTGTAATCGTAAATAAAACAATTTTAATCTGTGTGACTGTGCTGCTGTAATCTTATACGCCAGTATGATCAGTCTTATTAATAGAAATACAATGTTATGTTGATTGAAAGAATTATTTGATAATCAAGTTTATCAAAATTTATAACTGTTACTCCAAGAAGTATTGATAGAATTTTCAGATATTTGAATGCATGAAGATCAGAAGAAAATGCATAAATAGCTTTAAAAATGTTTAGTTTGATGGCATAAGGCAATGCAACATGAAGGCAATATGCCAAGGGGTTGCCTCCTGAGAGAACTGGCTATTATTTAAGTGTTATACACTTGAGTGAAAACCAGAAAACTCCAAATAGGCAGTCTGTTGATCAGGAAAAAACTTGAGATCAACTACCAATATTTACTTGTTTTATCCACTCAGCAATTGAAGAGCACTGAAAATGTTAATCTACAGAACTGGATTCTTCAATATCTTTTTTGATTTGAATTAATTTATGGAACCATTTATTACATCTAGATCTATACTGCCAATTATTTAATATATGCACTATCATCATAGTCTAATTAATCAAATAATAAGTATGAATATGAAAGCTTAATCCTTTATCTAAATATCACAACTTTATAATTAAGTTCANGATTATTAAAAGTATTAGATTTTTCTCTCAAACTTATAATAATACTGCATAATTAATACAGCAGTTTTAAAAGCTAAAAGTATTTTAAAATTTAAAAATAACAATTGATATTGTTATATGCTTGTATATTTTGTGTTATAATTCTGGGTGAAATTTTGGATCCTGAAAATATTCTGCATCCCCTTTACATAAGTTCATTGTACCACAATACTTGCTGCCTGCAGACAACTACACTTAATCAACCATACTTTCAGAAAACAAAATCAACAACGCAACCAAGGAAACAAATTTCCCGACTTTTCTCAAACACTAATGAAAATCCCTGACTTTCCAAATGCATAGGAACCCTGTATATTTTGAGACACCATGAAGTGTTGATACTAGACACTGGACTTTTTCATATCCACTTTATTTTCTAAAATTGAAATGTTTCACAAATTGAACTGTTAAATTATTAAGAGAAAAAGTCACATTTTGTGTAAAAAAGCAGGCATATTTAAAATACTATATATTAGAGAAACATATTATACTAGAAATTCTCCTGTCAAGCGTGACAAAATATTCAATATGAGAAAGAAATTGAAAAATTGAAAAGAGCTTCAAGTTGAGCTTGATGATGTGATGCTGTTTCTGCAGCCCTTGACAAAACCATTCTTACTAGATATTGCTCAAGTCAAACTTCACAGCCTTTACAGGCCTCAGTTGTTCTTATTCTTTTAGGTCTAGAATTTACTTGACCAATTTTACTCTTATGCTTACTCATAGGCATTTCCACCCAGACAAAATAGCAAGTCTTTTTAGTTTCATATTGATAAAACAAAGATGAATTGCATGTACAATACGTTAGTTAGACAAGTGATAACACTTTCTAAATAATGGGCTCATTAGATCGTTATTATTATTGGATAGAATGTCATGGAAAGATTTTTAAAAAATTTGTTAACAGAAGTGACACGATGTCACTATCATTTTTTAAAGTTCAAATTTTAAATTTAATAAAATAAGTTTAAAATACATCATTTGCCAAAATATTTAAAAATGCAAATTAAGGGAAATTTCCTCATCAAGCATGAATATCACATGGTCACTGATGTCACTGCAACATAAGTGCAATTACTGATCAAAAATCGATAAAACATTTATTCTATAGCTAATATTTTTGCAAAATAAATAGCCTATACTTTTTGTCAGAACATAAAACAAATATAACCAATATTTCATCTGGATTGGACAAAAATTGCAGGAGTTATAAGGAATTCATACAAACAGACAATGGCTTTTACATTAGTATAAATAATTTATTTTTAACTGATAACATATAAGTGCAAGATATAGTTATTGATTACAGAAAATGTTTATAACAATAACAGAGGTTTACTTATATGTAATAGTTAAATCAATTTTCTAAATATATTTTTCAAAATAAAATTCAAATATATATTAGTAGTGACGTACAGAAGGGTTGACTATTTGATCTGTACCTGATCGAACAATTTTTTCTTTCTTTCTAGTTAGAACATGTTTTAATTAAAAAGGTAGAAAGAAAAGGGTTCATCCAAAAGTCATTTTATGGTCTTCCTTTGAGCACAGTTTCCTTTACTTGGAGATGGACCATTTCGGCAGGAGTGTTCATAGAATCCGCCAGCTCGATGCTGGTCTCAACAATTGGATAGCTGCTGTCTGAATCTAGACATAATTATGCACACAATACCTTCCAAGGAAACTCTAGCTGTCTTCCAACTCAGTTGAGAGACCTCAAAAAATTGTCCGGCAATCTTTATTGCTTCGTTTTTAAGGGAATCGTCCAGCTGAGATGAAATCCCGTGTGATACATACTTCTATGTTGACCCCCTCCAGAAAAACCAGAGTGCCTGAGCAAAAGGCAAAATTGCTTTGTCTCTGCCAACCATTAGGCTTAAATGACATTAGTGTAAGTAGTGCCTACATATTCTCAGAAGATTACTAAAATATGTCAAAAATTACTAAATTCCTTTTCTGCTACTGTGCCAATTAAGTGATTAAATTATGTATTAATTTATTAGTTTGGTTTCTGTTATTTGAGATTTGGCCCAATAAAGCAGCTGTCCTGATTAACCGATGGCCCAATTAAACAGAATAGACTATATTAAAAATTATCTTAACATTAATAAATCTTGAAATTATTAAATTAAGTTGAATAATTTTATATGACAATATTTTCAATGATATTCAAGATTTAATGTTAATGACAAAATATCAAATAACTTCCCTTTATAAACTTACAACATGCAAATGTTTTTATCATTTTTATTTAAAAAGAATTATTTATCAATAACATTAATGGATTGTATATTTATAAAAGCAAGTTATTTAAATTTCTGCACTTAAAACAAATCAAACTATATTCAGGGTTCCTACTCAAATTTTTGTTTTAAATTCCACGACTTTCTCTGACCAACTTTGTACAAATACCCTGACCCTCATGTCCTTACGGTATGGCACATTAACAAAATAAAACATCACCTGACTTACTACAAACATGCACTATTGCTTCGCCAACTTTTTACCTGGTTATTTTTTTCTAATTAACATTTATATATTTTTTTATGATTGATGAATTAGTAAAATTAAAAATAAAATAAGAAAAACAGAATTATGGCATGTCTTCTCTACANAAATATTTCAGATATTAGATATATTTTAAAAGTTAAATATATTTTATATGTCTTTTATATCTTATGTCAAAAATTACTTATTCTAATTAAATATTGTTTAAAATGTGTGATTTTCAGACTAAATATCTTCAAATATGATTTTGTAGAAACTTGAAAATTATAGTGTTTGCTCATTCAGTATTTAATCATTAATTTTTAATAATTTAAAACAAAAAATAGATAAAACAGTTTAGTTCAATTAATACTTACATATTACTTATATTGGTACTATTACAATAAGGAACTCTTTTGTTATTGATATACAGTACAGTGTTTTAATATCAGACTGTTGATAATTCAAAGTGGAAAGAACAAAATTATTTTCAAGCTAACAAAATATTATATTATAGAAACTATTATCATAAATATCACAATATAAACAATGTAGCCATTAAATACATTATATTCTATTATATAATATATATACATACATATGTGAGATCCTGGGGTAAATATAATTAATACATGGTTAATTATGAAGTGGAAAAAACCCAGTTTGCCACCTGGCATTTCTGTCACCCTCTAGTCAGATAAACAAGAGATGATTGAATGTCTTAGCAAAAGCAACAATCTCATCCCTTTTATTTAAAAATTAGTACACAGTTAATTATGAAGTGGAAAAAACCCAGTTTGCCACCTGGCATTTCTGTCGCCCTCTAGTCAGATAAACAAGAGATGATTGAATGTCTTAGCAAAAGCAACAATCTCACCCTTTGTTTTGAGAAAGTTTATAAGATAAATCCCAACACCTGATTGTTGATGTCTAAGAACTGTGAAATTTGTTTAGATTATATCATAAGAGTCACCTTACCTGACAAAGTGTCAACAAACTGCCCAAGTTGTCAAATTCTTACAGCCCTCTCTGCCTGAATTGATGACACATCTTGAACTTAGAACCACAACAAAGTAAGTCACCTGATTTTCCTCCCATGCTCAGCGAGGATAAAAAGAGCATGCACCCAATCTTTGGGATGATTGTCAACAAAGAAGCCATCTCCTCTCCAGTCATCTTACTACAGCCGGAAGATCTGAAGACACCACTCTCTACCCAAACAACTCTAAGAGGTATTATACTTGAATGATGTAAACTCTCTCTCAGTCAGTTAGTTACTCGGAAAACTTGGTCCCTAAAGACCCTCTTAACCAGGCAAATGTTAATTATCTGTAGACTGATTGCATCAAGTCTCTCATAATCCTTTATTTTAACATTAAACTTGTTGAGTTATCTTAATGGATGCTTTATCTCGTGTTTCGCTGACCCCACTAACCCTTCCTACTTGAGCAAAGGAAACATGATTTAAATCACATGAAACAACCACCATCCATCCACTGACCCAGTGAGTAGTCCTCATTGAAACATCGTCGAAAAAAGGGCGTCTAAAAGCAGTCACCACCAGCTTCTTANCAAGTCTTTTTAGTTTCATATTGATAAAACAAAGATGAATTGCATGTACAATACGTTAGTTAGACAAGTGATAACACTTTCTAAATAATGGGCTCATTAGATCGTTATTATTATTGGATAGAATGTCATGGAAAGATTTTTAAAAAATTTGTTAACAGAAGTGACACGATGTCACTATCATTTTTTAAAGTTCAAATTTTAAATTTAATAAAATAAGTTTAAAATACATCATTTGCCAAAATATTTAAAAATGCAAATTAAGGGAAATTTCCTCATCAAGCATGAATATCACATGGTCACTGATGTCACTGCAACATAAGTGCAATTACTGATCAAAAATCGATAAAACATTTATTCTATAGCTAATATTTTTGCAAAATAAATAGCCTATACTTTTTGTCAGAACATAAAACAAATATAACCAATATTTCATCTGGATTGGACAAAAATTGCAGGAGTTATAAGGAATTCATACAAACAGACAATGGCTTTTACATTAGTATAAATAATTTATTTTTAACTGATAACATATAAGTGCAAGATATAGTTATTGATTACAGAAAATGTTTATAACAATAACAGAGGTTTACTTATATGTAATAGTTAAATCAATTTTCTAAATATATTTTTCAAAATAAAATTCAAATATATATTACATAATATATGAAAAAATACAGTAAGAAAAATGATAACATTTTATTATTTTCTTTAAAAGCAATGTATTTTTTATTTAGCATAATTAAATTTAGGCAAAATAGTTTTTTAAAGGTATTATAATAATATTAAACAAATTCTTCTGTTTTTTGTTTTAATTGAATGTTTTTTAATGTTAAAATTATATATACAACAATATTTTAGACATTTTAAAAGATTTGAAAGATTTTTTAAATTTTAATAATTTACAATAATTATTACTAAAGTTATAAATGAAAAACATCATACCATGTAAAAGCTACACATCCAGGTCTTTCTTCAGGTAAAACAAATCTGTTTTGCAGAAAATCAAGTTGACAATAATAACGTTTTAATATGCTGCATCCAGTGAAATCATGAGGGACTTTACAAGCAGACTAGAAACAATAATTATTTGAGTAAGAAATATATTATTTAAAAATTAAATATAATCCATGAACAATCACTAACAATATTACAGTCGACCCCTCCTATAACGTGGGTTCACATAATGAGGATTCGTATATTGCGGCAAAAAAATTGCAACCATATTCGTATAAAGACGCTAAAAGAGACTCATAAAATGTGGTAAAACATCATCGCTGACTCATGTTGCAATAGGATTGGTCAAATCTGGACCAATAGTGGACGAGCAGCCGAACTACTTGCACACTATGGAGAGCTTAGGCGGGTAAGTTGAGTTTACTATCGTCTGTACAGTATATAAATTAGGTACTGTAAGTCTAATACAGTACTGTAATTTTATACATTTCTTGTGAAAAAAACATTTCTTATTCAACAACCATAATTTTTATGGTTGTTGAATATGGTTGTTGTTGTATGGTTGTTTCCTGATAAATAAATGATGTCTCCAAAATTCCTGCGGAATTTTGGAGACATCATTTATTTATCAGGAAACGCGCGCCCCCGTTCAATGAGCCACTCCACGACGAAAATAAGCTTAAGCAATGGCGTCGTCAAACGGTGCACACTCGGTAAGTAATCCTACAATTTTTTTTTTATAGCATAGATTATATGGATTATTCCCAAAAAATTATACGTATTTTGGAAATGTTGAGTCAAATTAGTCTAGAATTGATTAATTTTATGGAAGAAACCTTTCAAACAGCCGTAGTCCGTAAACTGCACA